AGCAAAACAGAGGTAATTTAGGCAATGTATTAAATAAGAGAAATTAGTATTGAGTGCCACCTAATTTTGACTGGTAAAATAATATGTAAAGTAATTTGTTTCAAAGGATTTCCATCTCCATCATCTGTATTATTGATTTGATTCTTGTATAACAATAGACCATTTTCCGTTCACTGCGAGAATCACGCGTTATGCGTGAAATCGAACGTAAAAACAGGACAAACAAAGGTCATAGCGTCGTAGTCGCGTCAAACATCGCGTGGGATTCGACAAACACGAAAGTATTTCGGGGACATTTCCATGCTTAATAATGTGCTGTCCACATTTGATGATAGACAATTTCGATTAAGTAAGGGTATTCGGAAGCAATATTCCGCTGTCGAAGATCGGCCGGTCAATGTAAACTACGAAATAAAGAAATTCTAGTTCAAAATCAAATCGTTCGATTTTTGCGGCAGACGTTCGACGCGCGTCTTTCATGCATCTCGCGAGATCTCGCAATTGTACGGAAAATCACCTATCATCTTGTAAGATTGTAAAAATGAGCCCTCACTACAAGCATTTCACCATCGTTAATCCAAACATATAACAAGGTATAGCTACAATTTTAATACTAAACAACATACCCTCCACCTCCAGTAAGGTAATCGTATCCCCATCCAGGTTTAGTATGTCCATATCCATATCTTTCACCAAGATATACCGGTTCAGTTGCATTATAACATGACAACAGTCTCTGCAATCTGGAAACACTGTTGGAAAGATAAGTGTCAAGTTGAAATAGTTTACTATCTGGTTATGTTCATGTTTTGTTGCTGTATAACACAAGTAAGTAAGGGTAGATGTAGCATAATATGAATGCGATAATAAAATCACAAGTACTTTCACTTGTTGACTTATGACTTGTTGATATTAGTTATTTATTCTGGCCTTTTGTTATTATTTATGTGAAAACTACTATGATTTTGTCATTGAGGCTGCTCTGGATGTTGTAAGATCAGAACAACTGATTACCTACTTTGCTTCAAAATTTTGTGGATTATGGACAGACTTTGTCTACAGTCCATACACATTTATACATGAAAATAATGTTTTAAAATGATTATCTAGACTATAGACAAAAGTCTGCCGGCACAAACAAGTTTTCTGAATTTATAAACAAAATCCATTTTCAGAACAGCTTTTTACTGCATTTGTCATTTGAATGTGTCTGGTTTTGTCATCGACTTGATATGTGCACTGGGAGAGGCGAATTGTTTGAGTTACATTTATCAGGTTACAAAAACATTGAGTTATGACAAAAATGACCACGCCCATATCCGAGAAAACACGCCTACTTTTGACAAACCATGCCTAAATTGTAACTCGATCCTCAGTTAACGGTTCTTTGAGTTATGGGCAACCTATATTTTTGTTTTTGTTGAACGTCCGCATTTAGTGATGCAAAATTTAATTAAAAGTTAACTGAACTTTGAGTTATGATCAACATTTCATTTTCATTCAATTTTTCAACATGACGAATTAAAATTGTCATTTGCACACTTTTCCAAAGAGGGCGTGCTTGGGTAAGCACACTGAGGACACTGGGTGCTAGTACAGTTGCATAAAAGAAGACAACACAGAGATCAAATTATAAGAGCAGTAGTTTCAGAGAGTGAATGTTCACCTGAGTATAGTATCATCATCTGTTATAACCAACCATGGGATTCTTTTCAACCAGGGATCTGTTTTGAAGTGATTAAAGATGTAAAAGGTCTTCCCACAGTGACCTAGGAAGAAACAAATAATATTGAAATATACAGTATCATCAAGACACTCGTGTTTATCATATGGTTCACACCCCTAGCTACTGCTCAAAAACTAGAATCTAACCCACATTGAATCGCAGAACTGTACATCTATTCATTTCAGAGAAGAAAAAGTGAATTTCATGCAACATCTACATTTTCAGCTTGCCTGTAATGAATGTAAGTATAGTTGAATTATGTCAAAAATGTTGATGTAGTTGTAGTCAACTACAATTCTACTATAGTTCCAATAACTCAAAAAGCTGTTACCAGTATCTGATCGGTATCAAAGTTGGACATGTTAGGCATGAGTATAGATGCCATGTCTGTAATAATAATTATAATAATAATATTTATTGCATCTTTAGAAATACAGTATTTCTATCAGTACAGTAGCAATAAAAGTATAACAAAGTATAATAATAATAATGAAATAATAAACAAAGAACAAATATTATAATGTTAAGTATAAAAGTAAAATGTAATGTGTTAATTTTTTTTACTAATACTAATAAGTTTAATAATAATCAAACTATGACTAATAATAATAAAATTCAAAACTATCAACTATCTATTCTTTCTTGAAAGGCTTTGTAAATAAACTGTGAAACCTTTTTTATAATTTCACATTCATCTGCACTGAGCAATCGAATAAATGTATTGTGTGAATCACAGAGGGACTGTGTGTGAATCAAATCATGAGAAAGTGGAATTCATCCTCAATCACATTCATGTTGCACTGTTTGCATTTTCTTTCATTTACTGGTGTTTTAGGGCGTGTGTACCTGCCCCTTTTCAATTTCAAGTTTGTGTGTGCTTGTTCTCAATTTTAGTAATGCATTTCTGTGATTAATGTTTTGTAGTGTCAAATATGGTTCAAAAAAGTATTATTGTAATGAAATGGAAGGGAATGTATAGTACGGTAGTTGAATTATTCCTGCTCATGTTGTTGTTGTTGACAATTCTTATGGGCGGAATTACTGAAAATGCTAATCTGACTGTTTTGAAACTTGAAAATATTTGTCATATAAAATCTTTTTTTGTCACTGTCATTGTTATCCAACTGTATCCAAATGATATCTGCTATTTCTTCATTACTTCTGATGAGATGATCTTTGGCACTGTACATGGCATTGGTTAGAATGCAAACTTTAAACGATTGTGAAATCATGGACGGGCGGTTGCATACTTTTTCTCAGGCATTGACAATCCAGTTGACAATAGTTTGCTTGTCTGCTTTTTTCAGTTGAGTCTCGTTAGTAGCATCAGCCTGTGCTGCTTTGATAGCAGCGTCACTGATGAAACTTGTCCATGACTTTCGAAGTTCAGACTTGAATGATTTATTGATACAAATATCTAAAGGCTACCCATGCCATGCTCAGAACTCTGGGTACTCTAGTTTGATATTTAAAGGCTGGAGTTTTGATGTACAACCGCCAGGAATTACGTCAGGTAAACTGTTCACACCATGATATCTGGACTTCACAGACTCAGTGATGTACGCTCAAAATGAATCAATAACGAGCATTGAATAGCGATGCTCGGTTTATGGCCTCCAAATTTCGTCGATCCAACACAGCATTAACTTTTCCTACATCCAGCCACAATAAAACCCGGAGGAGAGTGTAGCTTTTATTCCTTTTTGCCTTTAAAAATTATCATTGGGGGCAGAATATCCCGTTTGACATCACTGTCGAAAAAAATGTAAAGTGTCTCTTCTCTGCATCTGTAGTGCGGACTTTCAGTCTTGGTGTCTCTCACTTCTACAGTTTTGTTCGAAACCAAATTGAAAAAAAACTGGCATCTCTGTCACGTTTCCGATATATGGTCAAAATCGTAATCTTGGCGTTTTTCATGGACATATGTTCAAAAATTATCCAAGTCTGCAGGTAACGTTTGCGCCACAGAAGTTTTTAACCACAAGACGAAGTTGTTCCGCTTCATGAATTGTTCGCACCACTCACGCTACGCTTAGAACTCTGAGTACTCTAGTGATGACCGGCAGTGCGTGACAGCCTGTTGCATCCATGGTAACAGGGATCTGCAGGTCGTGTTGCTGTAGGACCTAAATAAGGACGTATGGGACAACACGACCTCCACATTGTCTCCACCAGATGTAAAATGTTCCTTATCAAAATCATACGTATCCCACCCATTCAACGATATTTTTATTTCTATACGGCGGCGTTAAATCCCATCATTTTGGCCTCCTCATAAATTTTGCGGAGTTGTTTGATATTGATGGATTTGTAAATAATTCTGGCGACCTTTGTGGAGATGGTGGTTTGTGTAGAGGGTGGCTTGGCATCCAATCGGATGTTTTTTCTTAGCAACCGACATAGTTGCACTATACATCAATGGCAGGATAGCAGGAACTTCAGCTGTAGCTTTAACAAAATATGAGTCGATTCAAGACATTGTCATAGAAAAATTGAGGGTGCTTTATAAGATCTAATGAAAGACTTGGAGCAAGTTATCTCCTATGAGTAAAGTCCCATATTGATGCTGTATTTTCATGACTCTGAGTGGACAACATTTTCACACTATTTTCTGTCACAATGACTGTACTATTAGCGGCCACCCTCTGATAATTCCGATATGGAGAACATAGTGATTGGTGTGAACGAGTAATAATGTATACAGCTGGAACTGACAAAACATGTGTTATCCGTATTACAATTGGACATGTAGCACTTTATATTAAAAATAAAATAAAAAATAGACCAAAATAGTGTTGTGCCTGGTACATATACGTTGCCAATATAACATGTAAAGCTAGTGTCAGACACCGGTGAATTGTTTCCTTTCATAGCAATTTTGCTGTGTGTATGAAACAAAGAAATTGAAAGGAAAGTTACCAGACAGACAAAAAGCTAAATGATTTATTGATAGATTGTGTAAATTTTTGATTTGCCGATGAAATTAATAGAGGGACCGAATTAATAGGGTTACAGGTATAATTTTTAAGATGTTGCTGAAAGTCACAAATTCCCAGAGCATCTTTCGGTCATAATTTCTCAAATGTGCCTTGACTGATTTTGCATGTCATGCACTCATGCCATTTTGGAACCAAGGTTTCACTGATTTTCTGGTTTCAAAAAAGATTTTCTGTAAATAAATATTAATCATAACAAGTTTTACATACAAAGTATTATATTTTAAGTAATTTACAAATGAAAGTCTATATCTGAGCAATTCTTATTATATTATCATAGTTGTCTTGTAAATCAATCCACGAACCAAACTTATAATTTGAATTAAAATGTCTTCTTAGCAGTTTTTGAAAACATGTCAGCTAAGGATTAATAATGGTTGCCCATTACTACACTAGATATTTATTTATTTCATCACTTAACATCCACTGGAGAGCAAAAAAATAAAAGAAAGACATGTCAAAGAAGAAAATTACAAGAACAAAAGAAAAATACTGACCTCTTTCAGTATTAGGTATACCAGTAGATATTGTAGGAATAGATTTGTCTTCTTTTTCACTGTAGTATGAAATATGCTTAACATGTTGTGCCCATGTTTTCTTAATAACAGGAACTAAAATTAGACAATACCGGTAATAATAATATTTATTAACTCTTAATATATCTTAGAAAAGATAAACAAAAATTAGACATTAATTCAATAGGAAAACTCATAAGGCGCTGATAAAGTTTATAAATATTCTGATGTAAAATTACCATGATTCAGCTGCACCTTCTATTATTGATGTCAAAAATATGTTTTCATGCTAATCACAAAAACTGTGAATCATATATGATTAACCACAACACATAATATAGGGTTTGTCACACTTCTGTATTTCCTTGCTACCATGTAAATGCTCTCTAAAAATTTAAGCAAATATCTATGTTTGAGTCAGCCTCATCATACATGTGCAGTTCTGATAGCAGTCTCAATTTAAAACAATTTTTCAGTGTATGAAGGAAAGGCAGGTAATTGGCTTAGGACAATTTATTAGTTTACACATTAGATAATGTAATACTATAATATTTCTATATAAAATATCCACAAACAAATAACATGGCATTCAGAGATTGAATTAAAACCCAGGAGATATGAACTGTAAGAATTCAAACAAAGTCATGTACAATTTAAAGGGGAATCTTCCAAACCCAGGGATTGCACCAAAGAATCATGGGACACTATTGTTTATATTGTTTACAATGTTAATCTATCTTTTGTTATCCATTGTAATTTTAATCCAGAAAGTAAATTTGTTGTGAGATTAGGCTTAACTGGAAGTGCCCCTTTAACTGTTTTTTTTTATACAGCATTTGCTTGAATCAACAGATTGAGGTCAAAAGTGAAGAGACATTCAGGAACTACAAAAATGTATGATTACCTCTATCTGTATGAAATTTTTCACAAGTTTTCACAGCAAAGTAAATATCTTTCTTTGGTACAGCTGAACCCTGCAGTAAAAAATTAAAGTGGTTTCATTTATAATAATATTACCATATTTGCTTGATTAGAAGCGTACATATATATAAACTGAAAATTTGATATCTGTTACAGGAGGTAGTCTTCAATGTGAATCAGTATCAATTAATAGCTATCCTGTCAGTTTTTACTCCAAGAAAATGATGTTTCAGTACCAATAACAAAAAAATTATCAATAAACAAGAGAAAGAAACTTACACAATCAATAATATCATATGGATATGATGTGACACAGTCTGTAACATCATCAGAATCATTTTTCTTTTTCCTTTTTTCATTCTTCTTATCTTTTTCCATTTTTTCTGCTGCTGCACCATCATCCTGCATTGGTTCATTGGAGCCTATATTTCCTGAACACAACTCAGGAACATGAGTCAGTTCAATACCTTTGCCATCATCCCAGATGAAGATTGCCAACTGATGAAAAAAAGTAAGAAAAACAAGTGAATAGTGATAAAGAATTCACACATAAAATAGTCATTAGCATTCGAAGGTATAAGAATTGTGTTGTTCATGCTGTTGTTAATTATCAAATAGCCATGATTCACATAAAGCATTGTGTTAAATATGGCCCCACGTAACATATACAACATGGCATTTTATATTTATGAGTTCTGCACAGACAACAATGAAATCGATCCATCGAGCTAATGTTGAACCTTGCACAACATTTAATGTTTAGTTCTAAACGTTACTTGGCTCTGATCACAGATATTTGTAAATTAACCCAAAATATGGTATTTGAGACCATAGTGCACAGTTACTGTCACATTTGTACATGCACAGTTGAACTGATTGGTCAAACTAACTTGAATTGATATTGAAAAACACACAGAAAATCTTTTATTGCAATGTGTGAGGAAAATGTTCTGCAGCATGACTCTTCATAATTTAATAGCAGGGATTACTGCAAAGTTTAAATAAGACAAACAAGCTAGGAATCTCACCTCATGTTTAATGTCAATACTAAAATCCATATGGTGTTCTCCAGCCTCCCATTTCTCTGACAATCTAGTAAAAACATTGTTATATAATAAAAGGGAATTTAATTACAATGTCATTTTATAGCTGCACAATTTTAAATTATATGTAAATTTAATTCAATCTTAAGCATCTGAAGAAAGATTGTGGGTACCCAAACTAGGTTTTGAATTACAATTGTAAGTTGTTGAATACATTTTGACCATTTTTTAATTAAAAAATGACCTCTAGAATACGGTTAAACACTATAGAGAAAACAAAATCAATGTTTCTATAGACACAAGTTCTGGTAACCCCCCCTCCCCCATCATTTTTTTTTTATTTGACGTTTTTTCATTTGACTGAGCCTTATCACCTTTTCACTTCAGCAAATTTTTCTAATTTGTTACTGGTTAGCTGCTGGATTTATTGTGTACAATGTCAAGATGGAATTCACTAAGCGACCACTGTCTAACAACATAGAGACAAACCAAATGGACCCTCTCTAAGACAGTGTCCATCACAGGTATAAAATATCCCATTTTCATTGGTTCCCTGGAGTGTATTTGAATACTGTAACTGGTATATTTTAAATAGATTAAAGATATATCTTTATTATTTTACATTTACGTTAATCTAGATGTAAGCTTTGGAATAGAATTTAATATGTTCATGCTGTCGTGTCGCCATGTTGTTTTTATGTCGCAGATAATTTGATAGTACTTAGTCATCGTGACTTCAAAACTCTATATAATAAAGGCAGGTGTACGGTAATTCTAAAACCTATACTAATTGTTTCAAAGCAAACAGATGTTCCACTACTACAATAGTGGCCATATGGCCTTTGCTGAGTAATAACATATTAAATAAATACATTATAACTGCCATGCTATATTTGTATACATGTATCAATTAGATTAATGTATTTGTCAGTCAGAATTGTATTTTTATGTAGGCTAAGGGGAAAAAAGGGGCCAGATTTTATCCAAAACTATTTTTATATTTTTGCCTTTTCCTTTATTTCATTTTTTCGAAATTCTAGTGAAAACTTAAAATAAACAACCATTGAGAATGTCACAGCCTACTTTTGTACATTAATACAAGACTTTTTGATAAAGTACATGTACCAGTTCTACACTGGATTTAAATGACTACATGTGCACATGTCCCTTATGTCTATGTTGGAAAAGTGTAAAACTTATATCAAAACCAAAAATTATTGCGCATTGCAGGATAGTTATTGCAGGAGCAGACATGTGTTTATAATTGGCAGAGTTTTGTTTGATTTGGTCATAAAATATCCTATTATTTGGAATTGCGATACGGTTTGTTGATATGCAAGAACACAATTGTCTGTGAACCAAGTTTCAACCTAATTGGACAGGCTAAATTTGAGATATAAGCAGAAATGAACAAAAAATTTAAAACAAACAGTCTATCGGCTGAGATAGCTCCGCTGTTAGCAATGCACATTTCAATTAAAGAACTGAAGACATCATTAGAAAATGAACAATATGAATAGTATCAAAGCAATCGGACTTACAGTTTTTAACAAGAAGTCGAAAATATCACTTTTTACCAAAAATTACAAAAATATTCACCAAAATAAATAGAGAATTGAAGATATCATCACAAAACAAACAAATCTGAGAGAGGTCCACATGTAGTATCTATATATGTAATATCAAAGCAATCGGACTTACAGTTTTCAACAAGAAGTCGAAAATATCACTTTTTACCAAAAATGACAAAAATAATCACCAAAATTAGAGAACTGAAGATATCATCACAAAATGAACAAATCTGAGAAAGGTCTACATGTAGTATCTATATATGTAATATAAAAGCAATTGAACTATT